CAAATCTACTGCACAAGACCTCTAAAGTACTCAAGAGACAAGAAGTCAGTTTGAGGACTAAGGTGTGTCTGATTCAAGCCGTGGTATTTTCAATCACCTCATATGCATGTGAAAGTTGTACAGTGAATAAGGAAGACCATAGAAGAATCGATACCTTTCAGTTATGGTGTTGGAGGAGAATATTCAAAGTACTACGGACTGCTAAAAGAATAAACAAACCAGTGGTGGAAGACGTACAGTCAGAATGCTCCTTGGAAGCCAGGGTGGCTAGACTTCATCCTATTATCAGAAGGTACCAGTCTCTGGAGAAGGACATCATGCTTGGTAAAGTGGAGGGTTAGCGTAAAAGAGGAAGATCTGCAATGAGATGGATTGGCTCAGTGGCAGCAGCAAGAGGTTCAAGCGTAGCAACGATTGTGAGGTTGGTACAGGACCGTGCAGTGATTCATTCTGTTATTCACAAGGTCACTGTGAGTCAGTATCGACTCAATGGCACCTAACAACAACAAAAACAGCCGACAGACCAGGTGTGCAATAAAGGTTATTGAGAACCTTCTTTAAAGAGTGATTTGAAGAACTGCCAAACATCCTTAGTGAAATAACCGAACTGCAGCTCTGGGCAGTTCTGTGGTTTTCTGTGTCCTTCCATGTTGTCTGTAGTGGTTCTGGGAGGCTCTGGGTAGTTGTGGCAGTTCTGGTTGGAGTTAGGAGAATCTGTGTGATTCTGGTTGGCTTCAAGTAGTTCTGTGCTTTGTAATAAGCCACCCAAATCTGTCAGTCTTCCAGATGAGCCGCTTCCCTAATGACCCCTGACTCTGGAGATGCCACTTTTGTTTCCTGCTTCAATTCCTTAGACTTTCTCAAGCTGAGAGAACTGAAGAAAAATCCAAGCCTCGACTTAGAATACTGAAGTGCTTTAGGATAAGTAGTGGACTTTCAATCACACTGTTGGTCATTCAAACCCACCAGACACTCATTGGAAACACTATACAGGGTCTCTATGAGTCATAACTGACTCGAAGGCACTTAACAATAACAACAATGGGCAAATATTGAATACAGAAAGCATCAAAAGAAAATGTAAAGAATATACAGAGTCACTGTAGCAAAAAGAAATGGTCAATGTTCAACTATTTCAAGAGATATTTTATGATCGAGAATCAATCGTGCTGAAGGAAGACGTCCAAGCTGCCCTGAAGGCATTGGTGAACAACATGGTCTCAGGAACTGATGGAATATAAATGGAAATCTTTGTACAAACTAAAGATGCACTGGAGGTGCTCACTCATCTATGCCAAGGGATTTGGAAGAGAGCTACCTGGCCAAACAGTAGGAAAAGATCCATATTTATGTCCATTACAAAGAGAGGCGACCCAATGGGATGCAGAAATCACTGAAGAACGTCTTTACTATCCCACGCAAGTACAATTTTGCTGAAGAAGATTTAAAAAACTGTTGCAATAGTAAATCAACAGGGAACTGAAATTCAAGTCAGATTTAAAAGAGGACGGATAACTCGGGATAACATTGTTGACGTCAGATGGCTCTTGGCTGAAACTAGAGCATGTTAGAAAGATATATACTTATGCATTATTGACTATGCAAAGACTTTAGCCTGTGTGGATCACGACAAGCTATACATAACATTGTGAAGAACGGCTACTGCAGAACGAATTCTTAATTGTGCTCATGAGGTATGTGTACATAGACCAAGCAGCAGTTTTGAGAACAGAATAAGGGATACTGAATGGTTTAAAATCAAGAAAGGTGTTACTAGGGTTGTATTCTTTCATCATACTTATTCAGTCTAGATGCTGAGCACATAACCTGAGAAGCTGGGTTATATGTAGAAAAACGTGGCATCAGGATTGAAGGAAGACTCATTAGCAACCTGTGATATGCAGATGATACAACCTTGCTTGCTGAAAGTGCTGTCGAGTCAGTTCCGACCCATAGCAACCCTGTATAGAGTTTCCGAGGAGCAGCTGGTGAGCTTGAACCACCGACCTTGCAGCTCAAACGGCTTTGCAGTCTGGCGCATTAACCAGGAGGACTTAAAATACTTACTGATGAGGACCAAAGACCACAGCCTTAGGTATGGGTTGCATCTCAGTGTAATGTGGGGGCCTCAATGTAGGGCACGATGTAATCTGAGGACTTGTGTACAAGCCCAGGAACACTGAAACACACCACGGATTACCAGAAGCTGGATGATCCAAGGCATCATCTTCCCAAAGACCTCCAGGAGAACTCTAGGGGAAGCTATGTCTAGCAAAGGTGTGAGACCGTAACTGTGTTCTTCTCAAGCCACCCACTTGGTGGAATTTTGTTTGGGCATCCCCAGGACAGTAAGACACCCAGTAGTGCCCCTGGCCAGCAGTGCTATTACTCATTCAGGGGTGCTTTCTACCTAGGCTGCCTCAAAACCTTCCACAGTCCATTGCTCCATTTCCCCTCTGTGAGACCATCTCCCCGTTTTCTGTGTCCACCCGCTGATCTCAGAAACAAACCTCGTGAAGAATCATGAAGCAGTTCAGTAACACACTGTACAATATAAAATTTATTATAAAACTTCAGCAAATATAAATATCCAGGTGCCCTTTCAGCACAGAGCAGCACCGCAGGAAAGGACAGGAGAAGACAGCACCAGGATGGACAGAGATGCCAGAAATACACACACGCTGCCTCGTTCATTCCTTCATCAATCTTGGCCTGCGCACTGCATGGGGAGCACCGGAAGCAGGTATTACTGAGCAGTGCGAGGCTGCCCTCTATTAGGGTAGCACCAACAGGGGCAGCAGGGGCTTGGCATAACCGTTACTGTCTTTGTGGGTACAACTTGCAATTCTGATCCATCATTGAAAAAAGAAAAAGGCATTCAGAAACGACTTTAATAAGAGTCGTCCCACAGAGTAACTGAGAAAGAGAAAACGCAAAACTGTATAGATTCCACCCCAGCAGGCAGAACAGGGGGCCGGAAGGGGCAGGGCCCCTTTGCGGAGATTTCCTGGTTCCTGGATCTGTCAGCAAAGTTCTGAATCAGAGCAGAGTCCCACTTCTCTCCCTAGATGTGACGGCCCATCTCTTGTCAGCGGTAGAAGTAAACCTCTTAGGGAGAGAGTCCTAGACTCCTGGTCCCCTGTCATCCTCGACCAGGCAGAACGATGAGTGACAGTTAGAGAGGGCTTCCAGGTGGGAGCAGAGACAGATAATTTTCACTATGTCCTCATCTTATGTCCTTTTCTTCCTTTAAAACAGCACCAGGCAGGGCACTGTTATCAAGCTCAGCTCTGCTTGGCCAGGGGACTTGTTTGAGATGCAGAGAGGGGAGTGCATTGCTGCTCCCGTCCTGCAGAGGGCGTGCTTTCATGCTTGGAGTTCCAGCAGGGAAGCCTGGTTGGGGTCCATGTTCCAAACAGAAGCACATACATTTGCATGTGTGTGTACTTGTGTGTACATATAAACACAAGTGTCTGCATCCAGACTCACACTCTCTTACCCACACACATTCACACACGGACACATATGCGTGAAGACATGTAAAACAACACACCTATTCTCAGGTGTACACACATGCATGCACACATCAACCTTGGGAACACACAAGTACACAATGTCTGTGAGTACACACAAACATGTTCACGTGCACACATAAATGTATATGTGCACACACATGCAAACATTTGCACACAGACACAGCACACCATACAAGCACACATGCACTGCAAACACACACACATGCCCACATGTACACACATGGGATGTGCACACACAAACACATGCATGCACAAGCATGCAAACATGCATACACAAGACCACAATGGGCATGTAGTACACACATACAGAAACATGTGCACACACAAACACATGTATGCATGTCCATAGTGTACACACATATACATGTATGTACACACACAGGTCCATGCACATACATGCATGGTCATGTGCAGGTATATACAAGTGTACACAAACACACAGTTATGCATGCACACATGCACACACACATGCATGTGCACACATACATATATGCACACATACACACATGCATAGACATACTCAGGCGCACATGAACACACACACAGACACACACACACACACAGAGTGTGCATCAAGCAGCCTGGCTTTGTTTATCTTCAGTCTTCTCTCTTGACAGCCCTGCGGCGGCAGTGGAGACAGTCTTGCTCATGCTGTGCCGAGCACAGGGCCTCTCTCCAGGGGGCCTGCCCACCCCTCACAGGTTGGACTGGGAGCAGGACCGACAGCACTGCGGGCCGTAGAAGCGGTGGTTGCACACACCATGCTGGGGCACCAGGTAGCACCAAGTGAAGTAGTCTTTGCAGAGGATGTCTGCAGGGGGTACACTTTCGTTAGTCAGGGACCAGCCGACAGTCAGTGCTGCTCACTGGCAAACAGAATCATGTCTGTCATTGCTTTGAAATTGCTCAAGAGGGCAACTCTTTAGGTCTGACATGGGATGGTGCAAGTTGCCACTTTAAGAAGAGCCTTCTTGGAAGTTTCCTCTAAAACTGACATTGGCTTCTTTTCCTGCTAACCCCACACACTCAGTCCCCTGCCTGAGGCAGTGAAGTGGATAGTCCTTCCACTGACTCAGTGGTCTGATTCTCCCATTGGGCTCAACTCCATGCTGCCCTCCGTACGCATCTCTGCAGACACAGTTGACACCAGAGGGCCTGTCCACAGAGGACGCCCCAGGACTGATCTGGCCTTTTGTCTGACTTTCTGTCAACTGGCCTTCCTTCCACGGACTAACAGTTCAGGGCAGAAATCATGCTTTTGTCTTGCTGCATGCATTGCACCACCAGCTCGTCTCTAGCATCTGGATCATTTCTATGGAACCCTGGTGGCACCACACTGAAGCACTCAGCTTCCAGCCAACAGGCTGGTAGCTTGAACATACCCAGCAGTTATAAGTGAGAGAAGGTCTGTTGGTCTGCTCCTAGGAAACCCTATGGGGCAGTTCTCCTCTAGCACATGGGGTCATTATGAGTTGGAATCAACTCCGGGGCACCTATCACCACCAACAACAATGTGGGAGAGGGAAGGAATGTGTAGGTGGAGGTGACCTGAGGGGAAATCTGTAGCACGCACAAGACTAAGACTGTAGGAGTTCTCTAGTCATCAGGCACCCCACTTCCTCAGGCCTCTAAGGCACTGCTCCCCAAAGCCTTGGATCCCGACTCCAGAAAGCCAGCTTGGAGGCTACGTGACTCACCTTTCTTCTCAGTGATGGGGCAGAAGTGAGTATTGCAGGCCAAGGAGCCCATGGGCTTCTGGTGGGGGCTGCAGCCACTGACCAGCTGGCTGCCCGCCCGGCACTGCACTGTCCGGGTCTGCACACCACCCCCACAGCTGGCTGTACACTGGGGAAGAAGCACATGAAACCATCATGTGTGGAGGTTAGAAGACCACCACAAGAAGAACACCTTCACCAGAGAAAAGGGACTGAGAGAAGCAGGTGCCGTTCTGCAGAGCCAGGACCTGATGCTGGGAAGAGCTTTCCTTCACACAGGAACCCACCCTGCCTGCCTGCCTGCCCAATGCTTCACCCGGCTGCAATATTTGGACTCGCCCTTGGGACCCGCTATCCTCACTCCCATTATTCATGCGACCTCTGGAGTCTGATATTACAGTCTGAGCTGTAGACCCATGAAAGTAGACTCTTAGTGACAAAGGGAAAAAAATACAAAATACTGGATTTAAAAAGTAAATGCGTACAGATTGGCATAGTATTCCCTTAAATCACAGGCAGTGCTAAAAATAAATAAGATCTTCTCCCCAAAGGACATTTGCAGCATAGTTATTCTTACGATGAAAACAAAGCAGCTCCACGTTTTGTTGTGTTTTTCCTGACAGTGTCTCAGAGTAGCAGGACTCCTGATGTTAACCCGCAGGACCATGGAGCGCACGCTATTTTCTCAGACATTCTGGTCTATTTCAGCTGCTGTGGCACAGTAGGACAAGAGCAGTCCACAAGGTCAGTTTGAACCTCAAGGTCGGTGGTTCAAACTCACCAGCTGCTGCTCGGAAACCCTCTTCACTGTGAGTCAGAATTGACTCGGTGACACTTAACAAGAGTAGGCGGCAGTGCTTGGGTTTTTGGACTTGTCGGAACACCTGCTCTGTTGCCGTCCTGTCTCCCAACATCTGCTGCTTGTCTCTGCATCTCTGCTGCTCCTTATTCTGAAGGGATGAGGTTTAGGTCCCTCCCCAAACGGATGCGGTCACCTTAGCATAACAAAGAAAACTCCATTTGCCACTGGGAGTGCATCAGCTGGTAGAGGTCCTGACTCCAACATATATTTTTGGGGACACAAATCCAACACATACTTGGGATTCATAGTGATACCATACTTAGATAAAAAAACAAAGAGACAAAAAAACTGATTGTTAAGTTGTTAAGTGTCTTCAGGTTGGTTCCTACTCAAAGTGACTCTGTATCAGGTTTCTGAGACAGCAAATCTTTGTGGGTGCAGAAAGCCTCATCTTTCTCCCATGGAACAGCTGGTAGTTTTGAACTGCTGACCTTGCGGTTCACAGCCCGATTCATAACCACTACACTCCCAGACTTCCTTTTAAGCCAGTGGCAGCGGTGAATTCATAGATTCATACAAAGGCCCAAGAGATAGAAAGCAGGTATGACTGAGATCCTCAACGCAAAATGATCTCAAAATGATCCTAGTTTCTGGGCTCCCCATGGCTCCTTTCTCTCACTCTGGAGACAGTGACCATATTCTGGATCGATCCCAGATTTAGACAAAGGGAAGCTGTGCATGCAAGTCTTGGATGCACTGAGTGTCTCTGGGGAAAGGAAGACTGTTCTCTGGACCTGTTGGTCACCAGACTCTGGGTCTTACATGAAGAAACCAGCATCCCACATGGAATTCCATTACCAAGTTGTGGTTCCCAAGAATATATGTTGGAGTCCACACTCCTGGTACCTTGGACTGCGATCTTGTCTGGAAATTTGGTCTTTACAGAAGCAATTCATATGTGTTTCTACTAAAGTGGGGAGGACCCTTAATCCAACATGACTGTTAGACACAGAGGAAGGAGGCCATGCGAAGACAGGCAGGGGCTGAAGTTTGCAACCACAAGCTATGGAAAGTCCAAGGCTACCGGAAGCTGAGCGAGACAAGGAAAAATCCTCTAGAATCTCTACATTCTTCTGTTGTACTTGTGTGTTTCTGTGATGTTGGGAGCTACATCACCAGTATTTGAAATACCAACAGGGTCACTCATGGTGGACAGGAAGAAGGAGAGGTGGACCACCTCTGAATGTTGTCGCTGTTGGTGAGTGCCATTGAGCCACTGAAAACCTTATGAATAGCAGTGGAACATTGTCAGATACAGTTCTGGATGATGAAACCCTCATGTTGGAACACACTCAGAATACAACTAGGGAAGGGCTCCTCCCATGAGTCACTGCTTCTGGGTGCCCGCACGCAGCTGCCTCAGCTAACTGGGTTCACGTATTCCTGTCCCACTCAAGGTACAATTTCTGACACAGAGGTCACAGACTTTCTGCAGCAAAAGCATCATGAGAGAAGGAGGAATGTAGGGAGTGGACCTGGCAAGCGCATCACCCAGGACCTCACCAGGTGCCCACACCATAGAATACCTGAGATCTGCTGAGGGAAGAAGTAAGGTTTGACCCAGGGAGAGACAGACGGAGCTGGATGTGTGTGAAGAAATAAAGCCAAACCGCAGTAATGAATACACTTGAGAAGAAACACTGAATGTGGTCTAGACCCAATGATGGAGATTGTTCTCTAAGTTCCCAATCAAAAATGCCAGGAATGTGAGTAGTCAACAGCATACCTTCAGGAAGACTAGCCAGGTAGCATTCTGGAGCTCAGTGTCTGTCCTGATGGTTTTGAAACACAGGATGATACTACGTGAAACTGGGGTTCTGTGTGATACACTGCTCCCTCAAGATGTGTGGGACCCTGATCTATCAGGTGATGGCAGGAGCTCCCTGGCTGACTCCTACAGCCCAGGCCAGATTGCAGCTGGATCACTGGCCACAGAACCTCAGGAATGACTTTCAGTCTTCAGTGTCATGGTTTCCCAGACACAGAACCTGTAAGGTCTGGTTTGTTAGAGTGTCCGAGCATTTGTGTGTTTGGGTGTATGTGAAGACTGTGCAAGTCAGTGGGAATGCCTGTGAGAGTCTCCATGTATACACGAGAGTGTGTGAGGATGTGAGTAGGCAAATGAGTGTGTGACTGCACACATTGGACTCTGTGAGTGTGTATTAGTGTGTGTGAATGCTTACGTCAGTGTTGTGCGTGTGCTTTTATTTGTGTGGGTGAGAATTGTGAAAGGCTAAATGTGTGTGTGGTGTTTGTGTTTGTGGCTGTGTGTGGTCGGTGTGTGTATATAAGGGCATGTAGTTGTTAGGTGCCATGGAGCCGGTTCTGACTCGAAGCGATCTTACTCACAAGAGAATGCAGCCGTGTCTGGTTCTGCACCATCCTTACAATTGATATGATGTTTGAGCCCATTGCTGCAGCTACTACACCAAAAACCCATCTTATTGGGGATCTTCTTCTTTGTGGCTGACCCTCCAGTTTGCCCAGTATGATGGACTTCTCCAGGGACTGGTCCCTTCTGATAACATGCCCAAAGTATGGAGACAAAATTTGGCCATTCTGGCTTCTAAGAAGCATTCTGGCTGTCTTTCTTCCAACACAGGTTTGTTCTTCTGGCAGCCATGGTACTTTTAATATTCTTCTCTAATACCACAACTCAGATGCATCAATTCTTTCATGGTCTTCCTTATTCACTGTCCAGCTTTCGCATGCATATGAGGTTATTAAAAATACAATGGTTTGGGTCAGCCACACCTTAGTCTTCAAGCTGACATCTTTGCTCTTCAACACTTTAAAAAGGTCTTGTGCAGCAGATTTGCCTAATGCAATATGTCGTTTGATCGCTTGGCTGCTGCATGTAAGTATGCAGATGAGTGTATGAATGTACATATTTGCATTGAGTGTGTTAGGAGTATGAGCGGGTGACTATATGAGTGTGTCCATGTGTATGTGCGTTTGACCATATTTGTGGGTGAGAGTGTGAATGTGGAGAGATGCGCAGCAGTGTGATGAATCACTGTTCTATGACCTTTCTAGCCATGGTCTGACTGGGACTGTGCAAACGGAGTGATTCCTGTTCCATCCGGGGGACTGGCCACGCCTTGAGTTGCCGAGGAGTTTTCTTACATCAGCAGCAATCCCTGTGAAGCTCAGGAGCCCTCAGTACCCTCAAGAAGAAGAGTCTGGCACAAAGCTTTCCTTTTGAACCAAAGACCCTGGGTCCCTGTGCTGAGAAACTCCTCGACCTAGGAGAGAGAGCTGTAAAACTAACTGAAGACAAGGAGAAGAGACTGCAGCATGAGGGCAGATGCCCAGAGAACAGTGGGAGGCAGCTGCCCTGGACTTGCTCACCCGCGGAGTGACAGAGCCATGAAGCCTTCGGGGAGGAGGCTTGCCAGTATAGCTCAAAGAGCTGCAACGCTTGCTGTACTAGGCAGAGCCTTAGAGAAGTGTGTGGGTGGGTCCTCCAACAGCAAGGAAAGCTGGACAGAGCTGTCACCTGGCTTATGCAGGACAAGAGCATCCTTAGTGGACCCTGTGAAGGGCCTTCAGCACCCCTCCCTGTCCTGCTCCACTCATGAGCAGCACGGGCCTGCACGGCATAGTGACAGGAGAGCTGTAGGCCTAGGCGGCACAGTGGGCACTGATGTCAGAGGTTTAGAAGGATCCAACGGCAGGGGCTCAGGAGGTTCGGAGAGGGTCTTTCTAGTGAAGCCCAGTGGTTGAACAGACCCCCTCCCCCCAGCATGGTCAGAGCTGGAATACAGTATCTTCCCAGCAATGTAATAAGATGGAAACATAATTCTCAGTCAGCAAGGCTTCCTTGTGCTTACTTGCTCATCTATAGAAAACAGTTTCATGTGTTTTATACCACATGGTAAAATCCATGTGAAACTGTTCACTGCAGATGAATAAGTAAGCACAAGTAAGCTGTGCTTACCTTGATGACTGGGGACTTTGTGTCTGTCAAGGACTGGAAATGTGAAACCAGGCTTTGATTGTATAGGAAGGTGCAGTGGGGTTGGGAGAGAGACAGATGCCAGTCAGACCCAGAAGCACAATGTGATGCAGTGATTAGTAAGTAAGCCCAAGTCAGTCTGTGCTTACCTTCCTTATTTGGTACTATGTCACAGGAGGACATGGGTGATTTAAGGAAGGGTAAAACGGTCCTGGTGTGGCACTATAGGATAAGCTCTGGACAGCAGGTTGGTTTGAACTCAAAGGTCAGCATCTCAATCCTCAGAAACCCTATACAAGGTGCTGAGGAG